GTAGCAACATTCAGCCCATGCTCATACAACTGACATTGTTGAATGAGCTGTCCACACGCGACATACGTGTACATCGCTGAATAACGCAAGTACTTCAATCTGGTCGAGTGTTCCTTCCCGTGTTCCTGTGTTCCCCTGCTCCCTTGTTCATCTGGACTGGAACTTTCTTGTAGCGAAATGCTTGGGGTAGTGGTCTCGGCTCGTACCTTGCTTTTCCCAACACCATATTGAACAGCCGCAACATGTCTGCCTGCATTCACTCATATAAAGACCGAAAGCCTAAGTATGTAAGCCTTCGCACAAACACCACCTCTCAAGCTGAAACGCAGCTGCTGCTCCTGCTGATGCTGTAACATGCTTTCTATCTCAAATATAGGCACTCACTCATTCAGCAGCAGCACCATCGCTCACGCGTCTATGACTCTGCTGGCTCGCCTTGAGGCCGGCAAAAAAATCCATTATTCCCACAGATGCCTGCCCGCTGCTCATGCCGCTGCTGGTGTTCAAATTGCTGGGTACTCGCTCTGGCTCTGCACCTACAGCCTCCCACCGTCTGCTGGAAAACACATTGGCGTGCTGACTTAAAAACGGCTGCTGGCTTGGCTGCTGCTTAGGCTGCGGGCTTGGCACCTGCCTTGGCTGCTGTTGGCTTGGCGTCTGGCTAGGCTGCTGGCTAGTGGGCTGTTGTTCGTCCTGGTTGGCGTGAGTGGCATTGAGTGGGGCTTGTGTCTTGGGAGGGGCCGGGAAGAAGAAGTGCTGCCAAAACGGTGGTGACGACTGCTCAGGTGATGCTGACGCTGGCTCTGCTGTTTCTGCTGCTGCTTCCGCTGATGATTGTGGTGCTACTGCTGCCTTGGCTGGTTCTAATGCTGCTTCTGCTTCTGCTTCCACTTGCACTGCTGCTGCTGCCACTGCTTTAGGTGCTTCAGAGGGCTGCACTGCTGTTGGTGTTCGCACCTCGTCTCTTCCTAAGAGCGTGTGGGGCTTGGCGTGCTGTGGTGCAAGGCACAAGGGAACAATGGGAGGAATATTAGAGGGGGCATGGGAGAGGAGGTGAGAGGGAGCTGGGGCCTCAATGGAAAGGAGGAGGAAGAGAGGCAGGGAGAAAAGGGAGAGGGGAATGGGGAGAGAAGTAGCTGAGAGAGAAACGTGGGAAGCGGGGGGAAAGGGGAAAACGGGGATAACGGTGGAAAGCGGTGAGAGCGGGGAAAGGGATGCAAGCAAGAAAAGTAAGGCGAGAACGTGAACAGCAGGCAAGAGAACCCACCTGTGCTGCTAGCATCAACAGATCATCATCTGTGAAATCCACGTCAGCAGCAGCATCCGCTGCCACGTCAGCAACGTCATGGCCACGCTCATAACGCTCCCCATAAACATCCTCACCTCCCCTTTCCTCCTCTTCCTTCCCCTCCTCCTCACAGCCCGCGCTCACATGTCCCCTCCTGCTCCTCCCCTTCCCCACATTGCGCCCCCCCTTGGCCCACATTTCCACCCCTGTATTCTCCTCCCTTTCTTCGTTCCCCCTCCTGCGGCCTCTTCCTTTTCCTCTCCCTCCCTCCTCCCCTCCTATCAACACCTCCTCCCCATCCCTCACCTCCCTTTCACGCCCCATGCTTCTTTCCCTCTCTTCTTCTGCCTCTCCATTCTCCCCATCCCTTTCCACCACCTCTCCACCCTCCCCCTCTTCCTCCTTCTCTTTCACCCTCTCCCCCTCCACCTCCTCCTCCTCCTCCTCCTCCTCCTCCTCCTCCTCCTCCTCCTCCTCCTCCTCCTCCTCCTCCTCCTCCTCCTCTTCCTCCTCACTAAATTCATCCCCCAACTTAAACCCCATCACTCTCCTCCTCTCCCTCCTCACTCGCTTTACACTCCCTCCTCTCCTTCCCTCACCTTCTCTCTTCGTCCCAGCTTTCTTCCCTCCATCCAAACTCCCTTTCTCCTTCTTTCCCCGAACCTTCTTCTCACCCTTCCTCGTCCCCTCGTCCCCCTTCGCCCCCTTCTCGTCCCCCTTCCCCCCATCCTTTACCACCAGCATCCAAGCAGGTAATACCCTCCCTCTCTTCTTTGTCGCACCTGCTTCCCTCCCTCCACACCGCACTAAACCCATTCCACTCCACAAGCCCTCCTTGCCTCTACTCCTATCATACCCTTCCCCTGTCTTACCTTCTCCCTTCCCTATCCCCCCATTGCCCTCTCCTCCTCCTCCTCCTCCTCCTCCTCCTTTCCCAGCCTCCACTCTTCCCGATTCCAAGCCTACAGTCTTGGGCAACCCGTTAACAGGTTCGGATAAACGCTGCCAAGTAGCAACCGAGCCTGCCTGAGGCTCGGACAGCATAGCCCTGGTTGCATCCGAGCCAGCAGTAACCACAGGCCTGGGAGTGCTAACAGGAGTACTTGCTGACGTGTCACGTCCAGGGGCTGACGTGTCAGCAGGAGCTGACGTGTCAGCAGCGTGAAGTGACGTGGCTCCTGTGCTGGCTGGCACCCTTGCACTAGAAACGGGTGGCATGGAGGACAGCTGAGATAAGGGCACGGGGAAAAGTGGAAAGAGGAGAATGGGGGAAAGGGGAAAGAGGGGAACGAGGAAAAAAAGGGGAAACAGAAAGAAAGGGGGAAAGAGGCAAATAGGGACAAGAGAAGAACGGTACCGTAAGTAATGAAACCCTTTTTTGTTTTACACGTCTCAACAATCAGCTGGGGGTGACAAAAGACGGGAAACAGATTTTGAAGGAAAAAACAAGCATTTCCTTCAAAAGCATGCCATGGCATGGTGTGGCATGGCGGCGCTGCGGCGTGGCAGGAAGTCACCAGATGCCTCGGATAGAGCGCAGTTCAAATTGTCATGAAGCTCTGAGTTGGTTGATTGCCCACCTGAGTTGCCCTCTCCAGGAGAAGCGCTGCCACGTGCTTGCACACTCCGTTGGCGGACCTGCCGTGGCGTAGATGGTGGGGGAACAAATAGCTTTCGAGTGATTCAAAACTTGAGAAGCGCTGCCACGTGCTTGCACACTCTGTTGGCCGACCAGCCGTGGCGCAGGTGGTGGGGGTAGGGGGGAGGCGGGGGTAGAGCGGGCGGAGGGGGAAGCATCTAGCAGTGTACGTTGGTTGACTCCCTTCTCTTCCCCCGCCCACCTGAGACGCGCGCTCCAGACAGGGCGCTGCCATGTGCTTGCAGACCCCGTTGGCCGACCTGCCGTGGCGCAGGTGGTGGGTGGGGGTAGGGATGAGGGGTAAAGGCAGAGGGGAGAGGAGGGGAGGAGTGGAGGAGTGGGAGGGGAGGAGGAGAGGGAAGGTAAAAGGAGAGGGAAGGGAGGAGGAGAGGGAAGGGGTGAAAGAGCAGGAAGGAGTTCCAGGGTGAGAGGGGAAGATGCTCACCAGATTGTCTCATTGTTATTCTTGAACATTCATAGGCCATGCGTCTATGAGATGGAGAGCAGAACGAGAGAAAGGGAGACGAGAGCAGGAAGCGTGTGGCTGTCTCACCGGGCGTGTGCTGGGCACGTGCATTTCCCTTCCACGCGCACATGTGGCCCCCCTACCCCTCCTCCCACTCTTCCTGTTGTTCGTCCACGTCCTCTCCCCCCTGCCCTTGCACTGCCACTCGCCGCTGCTGTTCCTGTGCCTGCTGCTGCCCCTGCTGCTGCGCCTGTGAGTATATCGAATCCAACGGTGTAGGCTTCGCCCGGATTTGAGCCTGTTACAACGAGGCGGCAGTGGGTAACAGGGCGTTACAGCGTACGCCGCGTATTAGATTGACACATGCTATCAATTTTTGAGTCGACTCAAAAATCGACTCATCACACTCGGTAACGGGGCGTTATAGCATGTGCCGCGTATTGAATTGACACATGCTATCACGCAAAGAGAGCGCGCATTTTCTGCAACGTTCGTGGCGCGTGGTTATTTCTAATTTTGGAGGAAGTCCCAATGAGGAATGTGTTCTGCCACGCGCCACGTGACTCAAGAGTCGACTCAAAAGTCACCTGGAAGTCCCAATGAGGAATGTGTTCTGCCACGCGCCACCCTGCGTGACCTCGCCGTTGAAGCTTTTCTGTAACGTTCGTTACTTACCTAAGCATTTCGCTTCGCCCGTGGTCCATCCTTCGTCGCGAAACGACACGTCGGACAGTTTCCCGCCCTGCCACACGTCAGCGGCGCGCCTCCCCACAGCGGGAGCCACGCTGGCAAGAACCTCGTCGCGGCTCGCCAGGAGAGCGGGAATCGCGGGCGGGGCGGAAATGCTGTCCATCGACACGGCGTCTTAGCCGCGTTAACGAAGCTGGGGGTTTGAAGAAGGGACGAGGGTTCGACAAAGGACCGTCACTTGCGAACGGGCGATTGAATCTCTCTAAGGGCATGTCGGACAGCATCATACGAAACTCGTCGCGCCTCTGTAAAAATCCTCAACATATACCGTATTTCGTACACTTGCTAGCCACCCAGTCAAAAAGCTGCAAATGCTGTTTTGTACTCGTTTGGAAACATTCTCTTACAGACGAGAAAGTCCCACGGCATTGCCCACTAAATTCGTCGTGTATGTTTTCTGCTTCTTTCAATCAGTAAAAAACACCGCGCAAAACCCAATTCAACCTAGAAATGTTTTACCAAACCAAGCCAAGCTAAATCCTCAAAACACGTCCAAATCGCAAAACGTCTATCGTGTTCCTCGCCTCGAGTAAATCCCCTGAAGCAGTGCGGGATAGCACAGCGCAGTTTCCTAGGTCTGTCTGGACGTTTCTGCATTAGCGTAGCGTAGCCGTCCGATCGTGTCGTGCATGAACGCTCTCCGGCGTTGTCGCCGCTTCTCCGCGCCCTTAGTCCCACATGCGGACCGCCATTTCCCGCTGACCCCATGGCCTCCTCGCTTCCCTCCCGTTCCTCGATTCCTATCACCATCTAGTACCGCGCTCGTTTCGCCGTCGCTGCTTTTAGAGTCTACTCAACAACCATCGCCGTCGGTGCTCGAAATCTCAGAAATGATGGCTTCGCGTTCGTCTCTTGCCATGGCTGCTTCATCCTTATCCAATCGCTCCTGTTTCTCCGGGATTTCCTCCTCCTCCATGATTGTCCCATCTCCTCTCCCTCGTGCCACGTCACCACTGAGCAGCACGAGGTGCACTGATCAGCTTCCCGGTTTTCCGGAAGCGACCGCCGACTGTCGCATTAGCAAAGGCTCTCTTATAGGCACCCAATTTGGACAACGTCCCTCCCTGTCTTTCATTCTTCCGGTCCGCTCGTTACAGTCACGTTACGAACACTCACAGGCTCGGCGTCTCCCACCTGCGGGTGCTTACAGCGATGGCAACCAACCAGGGTACCCCTATTCCTTCACTCGCGTTCCTAACGAAGCGTCCTTTAGCGCGGACGGCTCGTGGCCGGATAATTTCAGAGTTTGGGAGAACGGCGGCGGATTGGTCCACGTGGAGGCGGTGGTTGACAGCTCAGCAGTGATCGAACCGTCCGCTGTGGTCCATGCGGAGGCTCGGATTGACGCGAAAACAAGGATCGGATCAGGGTCGGTGGTGGGGCCGTACGTGAAAATAGGCGCGGAGACTACCGTGTGGTGAGTTGTTCTAATAATTCTGTAGCCATTGCTTTTCTAGTTCAATTGCCTCTCGCAATTTCTCCCACCCCTTCCTGTCTTTTCCACCCTCCCCTTTTATCCTTCATCCGCCATGCAAGTTACAATGTTTCACTGCGGAATTGCTCCAGTAGCACTGTGTAGTTACTTGACTGATGACGACTCTCCACCTCCACTCCTTGCCCTCTTCCCTTACTCCATTCTCCCGGGCCCCTCTCCCTCCTCCCGTACCCTCCCCTCCTCCGTCTCTCGCTTTTCGTCTCCCCCTGTGACCCACCTCCAACCCACCCAAGGTACAACTGTTTTGGAGTCACCTTCTGAAAAATCTCTCCCCCCGCCACCTCCCCCCCCCCCCCACCTTCTCTCTCCTCCACCCCCTCCCTCTCTCGCCTTTCGTCTCCTCCTGTGACCCTCCTCCACCCCATGCAAGGTACAACGTGTCGCTCACGAATTGCACGATTGGGGATCGCTGCGTCTTCCACAATGGCGTGCAGATTGGCCAGGATGGTGAGTTTTACAGGCAGGTAGGGCGGGATGATTAGAATCGCGGGCAGGTATAGCGGCATGGTGATATTTGTGGGCAGGGAGGGCTGGATGGAAATATTTGCAGGGGCAGTATGCGTTGTTCACATAGAACAGAATCAGGAGGAACAGATAGGTCAAATGGGAGAGCGACAGATAGGACAGGTTGGTGAGATTGACAGCCGTGTGTGCCATATCCCTGCTCCTCCTTTTGAGGCGCCTCAAAAGTCATATCCCTGCTCCTCCCCCCTTGTGCAATGGCACATGGTAAAGACCTCTTACATGTGTCCCTACATATTTCATGCACTGCAGGGTTTGGTTTCTTCGTGGACGAATCTGGCAGCATGGTCAAGAAGCCACAAGTGAGCCTCACTGCACTCCTCTCCCAGACTTCTCTCACTGCACTCCTCTCCCAGACTTCTCTCACTGCACTCCTCTCCCAGACTTCTCTCACTGCACTCCTCTCCCAGACTTCTCTCACTGCACTCCTCTCCCAGACTTCTCTCACTGCACTCCTCTCCCAGACTTCTCCTCCTTGTCCTCCTGTCTTCGTCCCAACTTTCTCTCCGTGCGCGCTGTCTCTTTTTCGGAGAGAAGAAGGAGAACCACAATGAAACAGCCTCTCTTTTTCCTGTCATTCTGTCCCTTTTCTGTGTCTCTGCTTTTTGGCATGGCTTTGTGTGTCCATGAAATTATGTGTGAATGGCTGTGGGGTGATGGCTGTATGGGCGAGGGCAGACGCTGGGGGTGCAGATAGGCAGTGATGTGGAGATGGGCGCTAACACATGCGTGGACAGGGGCAGGTGAGTGTGGCTTGTAGGGGAGGGTGAGTGTTTTTCAGCACTGCATGGCTGTGTGTTGATGGTTTTATGAGCGAGGACAGACGCTAGGGGTGCAGATAGGCATTGATGTGGGAGATGGGGGCAAACACATGCGTGGACAGGGGCAGGTGAGTTAACTCCCATATGTTTGCTTTCTCTCTACACAGCTTTATCTCTCATTCTCTCAATGGTGTCGCATCTGCTCGTGCATGAGTACACTGCTTCTTATCCGCTCCTCCGTGCTTTTCTCCCTGCCCCTACCTACTTCATGTACCTCTTTATTTCCAGCTGGAGAGACACACAGATTGGTGATTACGTGAAGATCGATAACCTTGTGCAGGTCCGTGCATGTGCATGTGCATGTGCATGTGCCCCTCTTTGCACGACCCCTCTAGTGCGATTGCGATGGTGTGACCATGTGTGTGACTTCTTTGCATCCGTTTCAGCCCATACCGTACCATACCACAACGCACCCACCGGCACCACTCGCATATATCCTGCTCTGGCTATTCTCCATTGGCTGAACCCAAGCAGATTGGGCACAATGTGGTCATCGGTCGCTGCTGCATCATCTGTGGTCAAACTGGCATTGGCGGCTCCTCCACGTGAGTTCCAGCTGCCAGTGTTGCTTCCTCTCCAGCATTTCTTGCCATGCATCATCACAGCAAGGAGGCTTTTTCGGAGACAAAGGGTTGATCTGCGAATTGCACTCCGTTTTTTGCTGTCGATCCTGTTGCTAAAACGTCATCTTCACGTATTGCAGCCCTTCGAACCACGAGTCAATGAGTTGCAGCTGCCCGTGTTTCTTCCTCTACAGAATTTCCTGCCGTGCATCATCACTTTGCCCCATCTGTCTTTGTCCACATTAGCATCCTTGATAATGTCTGCATTCCCATGCATGGCAGTCTGGGCGACTATGTGGTGCTGGCAGGGCAAGTGGGCGTGGCCGATCATGTCACCATAGCAGATAAGGTATGCCCCTCACCACCGCTCAGCACCTCTCACCACCAATCACCACCACCCCGCACCACTCCCTTTTTCAAAATGCCACTGTGGTTTCATGAGTGATAACCAGCCCATTACCACCTAGTCCATGAGTTCTTACCTGTAGTCAGCCATTTCTGTCTCCCTTCATGTCTCCCTGCATGTCTCCCTGCATGTCTCCCTGCATGTCTCCCTGCATGTCTCCCTGCATGTCTACCTGCATGTCTCCCTGCATGTCTCCCTGCATGTCTCCCTGCATGTCTCCCTGCATGTCTACCTGCATGTCTCCCTGCATGTCTCCCTGCATGTCTCCCTGCATGTCTCCCTGCATGTCTCCCTGCATGCCTCCCTGCATGTCTCCCTGCATGTCTCCCTGCATGTCTCCCTGCATGTCTCCCTGCATGTCTCCCTGCATGTCTCCCTGCATGTCTCCCTGCATGTCTCCCTGCATGTCTCCCTGCATGTCTCCCTGCATGTCTCCCTGCATGTCTCCCTGCATGCCTCCCTGCGTGTCTCCCTGCATGTCTCCCTGCATGTCTCCCTGCATGTCTCCCTGCGTGTCTCCCTGCGTGTCTCCCTGCATGTCTCCCTGCATGCCTCCCTGCATGTCTCCCTGCATGTCTCCCTGCATGTCTCCCTGCATGTCTCCCTGCATGTCTCCCTGCATGCCTCCCTGCATGCCTCCCTGCATGTCTCCCTGCATGTCTCCCTGCATGTCTCCCTGCATGTCTCCCTGCATGTCTCCCTGCATGTCTCCCTGCATGTCTCCCTGCATGTCTCCCTGCATGTCTCCCTGCATGTCTCCCTGCATGTCTCCCTGCATGTCTCCCTGCATGTCTCCCTGCATGTATGTGCCACTGCGTGTGCATCCTTGCCCCCCTGGCTGGGCCCCATCAGGTGCGCGTGGCAGCCAAGGCCGGAGTGGCATCGGATATCAAGGAGCCAGGGGAGTATGCTGGCTTCCCCATGGTACTCTCATCTGCCCATCACATGTGCCATTGCGTTGCGTGTGCATTGTGTGCACCCCTGGGCCCCACAGGTGCGCGTGGCAGCCAAGTCAGGAGTGGCATCGGATATCAAGGAGCCAGGGGACTATGCCGGCTTCCCAACGGTATAACCTCCCCACCTACCCACCCACCCACCCACCCACCCACCCACCCACCTACCCACCCACCCACCCACCCACCCACCCACCCACCCATCCATCCACCCATCCACCCACCCACCCACCCATCCCCCACTCCATCCTCCACTCCCTCATCCGTCCCTGATCTCCCTCCCACTCTTCCTTCTCTTTTTCCTCTCCTTCCTCCTTTCCCTCCCTCCCCATTTCCCTGCCTCCCTCCCTCCCTCCCTCCCTCCCTCCCTCGTGTCCCTTCAATCCTTGTGCACACTGCAACGTACACCTTCACACCCACCCCTTCTCTGGATTACTAGTCGCCTTCACAAAAATCCCCCTTCCACTGACTGAGTAGTTACCTTCACATCAACCACCCTTCCCCCCACCCCCCTCTTCCCTCCTGCCCCCAACCTCATTGACTTAACAGTCCCCTTCACACCAACCTCCCTCCCTGACTCACCACTCCCCGCACACCACCCAACCCAACTGCACCGTCTCGCTGCCTCTAGGCAACTCAAAACGCACATTGCATCACGCCCTCTATTGCACGTCCTGTATTTTTTTAAAGCATCAGCAACTTTTTTGGGACCCGTGTTTACGGCAGCATTCAAGACAGTGCTGTAGGTGAATGGTAAAGAGTGCAGATGCGGCTTTTAATCAGTGTGGCTTTTAATCAGTGTGGCTTTTAATCAGTGTGGCTTTTAATCAGTGTGGCTTTTTATCTCTTTCCCCCTCGTACTGCCACGATTTTGTCTTTTTTCTTCACAGGTGAAAGCGAGCGAGTGGCGGCGATTGGTGGTTATGGAAAGGAGAATGATGAAGGGAACGGCCCCTGCCGCAGATAGATCCGCGCCATCTTCTAATCCAATGGTGAAGAAGGCTTGAGGCCGAGTGCACGGGGGGTGCAGTATTTGGAAATATGAAAGGGATATATGAGAGCTAGATGTTTTATATTCATATTTCTTAGATAATATTTGTGACGCGTTATGAACGCTGCGCTACAGGCTTCCGAACTCTGGCTTGAAACGCGATTTTCTTCGACCGCCGTTCCGCCCTTGCGCACTTCGTTCCGATTCGACTATTACACGTTCCACACATACGCTAAACTTTGGCGACGTTTCGCACTAACTGGCGTTCATAAGGCATTGTAAGAATCGCACTGCGCCTACTACAGCGCCATGGGTCTGGACGGTGGAACCATCATATCGCGCACCGACGTTATCCGAGGAGCGTCGTGGCGCCTCGCCTCCAGGTCGCTACCGCCAGCGTTACCGTCACTGTTACCGTCACCACTACCGTTACTGTCGCCGATACCGTCACGCTGTCCCAGTTACCGTTGCCGTTGCCGTTACCGTTACCGTCATCGTTACCGACACGACAGGCTATACCTTTTGCACTGTCCCTCTCCAATTTGCTCCCGTTCCAGACTCCCCCTTTGGCTCCGCCGTTTCTTCCCCTACCCTCATCCATCCCCCTGACTTGCGCTTCTCCCGCGCTCTGCGCTCCCCCTTCCCCAATCACTCCGCGCGACCGCAAAGCAGGGACTCCGCGCGGTCGACGCGCGGGGGGCAGCTGTCCGCGGGCGACCTGCTGGGCGGAGAGGAGCGCGTGGGCGCGCGGGAGCAGCGCGACGCTGCGTGGAGTGCGTGCGCGCTGACCGGGGAGGCGCTGAGAGAGCCAATCGTGGTGTGCCAGCTCGGACGACTGTGAGGAGGGGGAGGTGGGGGGAGAGGGGAAGAGGGGGAGGAAAGGGGGGAAGAGCGGGAGGGAAGGGGGAGGGGCGGGAAGGGGGAAAAGGGGGAACAAAGGGCAGTGGCGGGGAAGGGAAGGGGGAACGAGAGGGAGAGGGAGGGACGATGGGAGAGGAGAATAAGATTGGAAAAGAGAGTGTGGAACAGTGGGTGAAAGTTCTGCCATTGTGTTTCTCTCCTTATCCTCCCCCTCCCCCCTCCGCAACCCCTTCTATTTAGCTACAACCGGGATAGAGTGCTACAGCTAAGACGGGTAACTCTTCTTTTGAGGCGCCTCAAAACTAAGATGGGTAACTCTTCCCTGTCATATTCTTCCTGCTTTCTCCCCCCTCCCTTCTATTCAGCTACAACCGGGAGAGCGTGCTACAGCTGCTGCTGTGGCGAGCGGGGGTTGTTGCAGAGGAGAGCCACAAGGTGAGACACAGCTCACCCTGCTCTGCTCCGCTGTGCGGTGCGGTGCGGTGCGGTATGATCCGGTGCAGCTTTGCTGTCCGTCCCTTCTCTCACTGAGCCCAACCATTCCGGTCCCTCTATACATATCCCCTCTCCACCCTCTCTCTCCCATGCCGCTGCTTGAAAGAGAGGCTGTGCTGCTCTGCGACTTTTGAGACGTCTCAAAAGTTGAAAGAGAGGCTGTGCTGCTCTGCGTCTCAAGCAGCAGTCATCTCGTGCTGCACTGCACCTCCAATCAATTGTGCTTCTCCAACCTTTCCCCGCATATATCCCACCTCTCCATTCCCCCCTTCTCTATCCCTCCTCTTCAACCCCCCTCTCTAACCCCTCCCTCTCTCCTCCACCCCCCTCCCGTCTCCAACCCCCCTATTCCGCATCTCCAAGTCACATCCTCCAATCCTCTCCCCCCTGTTCGCCCGCCCCACCCCCCAAGTGGCGCTTCACCAGGTTGCAGGACCAACTGAACCCCTTCGCATCCCCCCTCTCCACCCACCTTTCTTCCTCTCCACCCACCTTTCTCCCTCTCCACCCCCCCAATTGCTCGTATCCATGTGCCATCCCCCCAAGTGGCGCTTCACAAGGCTGCAGGACCAACTGCACCGCTTCCCATCCCCCCTCTCCACCCACCCCCTTTCCTCTCCACCGACCCCCTTTCCTCTCCACCCCCCTAATGCCCGTCTCCATGTGCAATCCCAACCCCCCCCAGTGGCGCTTCACGAGGCTGCAGGACCAACTGCACCGCTTTGCACACATCCGATCCACCAAGGTGAGAGTAGGGGAGCAGGGGAGCAGCGGGGACGGAGGAGCGAGAGAGGGGGGGAGCGGGGGAATGAGCGAGAGAGCAACAAGAGAGCAACAAGAGAGCAACAAGAGAGCAACAAGAGAGCAACAAGAGAGCAACAAGAGTGCAACAAGAGAGCAACAAGAGAGCAACAAGAGAGCAACAAGAGAGCAACAAGAGAGCAATGGAAGCATTGACTGCTCGCCACCTTCTTGAGCCTACCCATCTTGTCACAGTGCGCTTCCCCTCAGTCGACCATCCAGCCCACAGCAGCCGACTGAGTCGTGACAGGACTATAAACTACTGTATCAAAATAACCTTTGAGTCGACTCTATAGTTTCCCCCTCCCCCTCCCCCTCCCCCTCCCCCTCCCCCTCCCCCTACCCGTCCCCCTCGCCACTTCCATCGGGAAGTCCCCCCTCGCATACTGTGCACCTCCCCTCCCCCCTCATCCGCTCTCTCTTGCCACTCCCATCAGGACATTGTCACGGTTCGCTTCCCCTCAGTCGACCATCCAGCCCACAGCAGCCGGGGTAACAGCGGCCGGAGGGACAATGGCGGGGGTAACAGTGGCGAGGGTGAGAATGGGACCAATGATGATAGCAGCAAGTGTGGTGGCGATACCAACCCTGCTGGTACTGCTGCTGGTCCTGTTGGTTCTGCTGCTGCTGCTGCTGCTGACGCATTGAATGCATCTGCTGCTGCCCCTAGCTGTAGCAGAGGCGGTGGCAGCAGCGCAGCCAGAGGCAGCAGTGCGGGCAGCAGCAGCAGCAGCAGAAGCGGCGGCGGCAGCAGGGACGCGTCGCACTGGGTTTGCACGCTTTCAGGCGTGTCAGCCAGCAATGGCCAGCCGTGAGTGGGTTACATGAGGAAGTAAGGCACAAGGGGCAGCGGGGGCACATGGGTTTGTACGCTTTCAGGTGTCTTTGCTAGCAATGTCACGCAGCAATGTTACGCACAGGGCAGCAGGGCACACAGGGCAACAGGGCACACAGGGCAACAGGGCACACGGGGCAGCAGGGCACACGGGGCAACAGGGCACACACGGGGTTGTTACTGCATATTTCTTGCCATTGTTTTCATGCCGGTGCCAGTGAGATTGCCTCTTTTGAGGCGCCTCAAAAGGGCACATGGGGTTGTTACTGCATGTCTCTTGCCATTGTTTTCATGCCAGTGGTGCCAATGAGGTGAGAATGCCTCAGCGCCACCTGTCTTATCCCCCACCAATCCCAATCCCTTCCCATCCTTCTTCCTCCCATTTCCCGTCCCTCGCATCCCCCATCCCTTCCATCCTCCGTTCCTCTGTACACAGCTTCTCTCTCCTCCGCCCCTGCGGACATGCCTTCAGCACACGAGCCCTGGCTCAGGTGCGGCTTCAGGGCAGTGACTTTTGAGTCGACTCAAAAGTCATCCCTGGCTCAGGTGCGGCTTCAGGGCTGGTGGTGTGCACGCGCATAGGTGATTTTCGGTAATGGCTCAGGTGATTTTCGGTAATGGCTCAGGTGATTTTCGGTAATGGCTCAGGCAATTCTTGGTAATGGCTCAGGTGATTTTTGGTAATGGCTCAGGTGATTTGTGTGATCACGTAGGTCATTGCATTGAACTCTTTTGTGTCAAAACCAGATGCCAGTGTGACATTCCTTTCTTCCCTTCTTGCTCTACCTCTCCCCCGTTCTCCCTTTTGCGTTCTCTTTCTGGGAACCCCCGTCAGTTGAAGGAGAGGCAGTGCCCTGTGTGTGGGACGGATTATAATGGAAGTTCTCATGTCACTCCCATCAACCCCACAGCTGACCAGGTAAGTAGTGCATCTGCTAATTTAATGCATATGATGATACTATGCCTGAACAGGTTACAGTGTAACTGGCCAGATGGAATTGTGCTAGCGTTGTTGTGGCCCTCGATATTCCCTTCTTTAGTTACATTCTTCTTGTGTGCTGGATTAGCTTGTAGTAAATTTGGGGCATTAAGTTGTGCATCTTGCGTTACAAGAATGCAGCATTTGTCAACGCCATTTTTTGTGGATGGCAAACTCAGGTGGAGCACTTACAGCAACAACTGCAAGTGAAAGGTCGTGGCAAGAGAAAGGGTGTGCCAGCATCTGATCACAGTCCCGGGTGTCATGCCGAATTTCCATCGGTATGTCAATCTGTTGCTTTTCTATTATTTTCAAAGTTTCAGTCGAGCTCTCTTGTCCCGTTGTCGCATGTATGAAAAGTTTGCTTGTGTCATTTTTTTTATATATATATATTTTTTTTCGGGTGGGGAACAGAAGAATCAACGGTGTTGCAAGAAAACAAGAGATTAGTATTCAATCTGCAAAGCCCTCTTCGTAACACTCGAGTCATTCTGTAACGAGGGTTTTGCAAATAATACTTCGTGAATCACTTCACGTGCTCGGCCAGCTTGAGAAAGTACTGTTGGAAATCTTATCAAGCTTCAGCAGAGCCAACGATCATTCAAGGTCCTTCGCGCTCCACCCTTTTTCTTGGTTAGTTGATACTGTACAGTGGATGTCGGGGTCAGTCTCGTGGACAATCTCTAAAGAATATGCATTCCCCAGTGCAGGCCCTACGAAGTCAGACTTTTTTCTCTGATTTGCACAAAAAACTCTGATATTTCAGACTTTTTTTCCAGTGTACTCTGTTAAAATCAGACTTTTTTGGGCCCAAACTCTGTAATTTTCAGACTTTTTTTAAGGCTAACTCTGAGAGTTCGGAGTTTTCTGAGAGTGTACTCTGATCATTCATGTTGGAAACAATAAGTCCTAAGTGCGCTTCTGTCGTATCGAAATCCAAGGTACCAAGCGAAGCAGTCCCAATCGAAGCATCGAGTCAACCTCGGAGGTTAGGGTAACCGCCTGGAGGTTACGAGAAAGTCAAAGGTCGCTGACCTTTGACTCGACAATTACAGCGCGACAGTTAAGGACACACAACTGACTCGTTACAGAGCAGTTGCCCGAGTCGCGCTATATCGAACCGCAACAGCAATACAGTTATCTATCTATTCCCTGTACTCTTATATAAATCCTTGTATTTGCTTGTTTAATTCAATCAACTTTGCTCTCACACACCAGTGCAAGGTCGGTTCAAATTCTTCACTAAACGCTTCCGCTATTACAACTACTTCACCTAGAGTTATCCCTTGCAAAGATCCTAAGGGGCTATCTCAGCCCAACATGGTATGAGAGCAGACAAGGGAAACTCTACTCTTTTTTCAATATCATTACAAGACATGGCAACAAACAAGGAAAGGAGCTCCCCTAATGGCTCCTCGGGCACTACTCCTACTCCACCGTCAGCCTCTGGCCTGCAGACAGAAGAAGGCACGGCAACAAGACCAAGAGGAACGTCAACCGAGACCCCCATGAACCACCCTTCGGACTTTGACCAGAACATGATGGAGAAATTTTTCTCCTTCATGTCCTTCTACGAACAACACCAGCAGTCGGGACCTGCACAAACACACAACAGCAACAACGGAGCGACACCCATGAGTCTTGATGGGTCGTCATATGCGCGAGGAAACCAGCAGCAGCAACCTACCTTTGCTCCGTACGAGCGCGGGTCAATCAGCTTCGTGCCCCACCCGCAACCTTCACCTGGACAAGAAAGACCACTGGACGCACTTCAAGTTCAGTCGCAGTTTGCACACGTCTTAAAACTGCAAACGTCAAGACCCTTCGACGGCAAAGACTTCTTTACCTGGTCCTTTGAATTCGAGCTGATGATGGAGGGCGCGCAGATACTCGGCTTCTTCGACGGGTCCCTGCAGTATCCAGCCAACGGGACACAATATGAAAAGCAGCAGTATACGTATCAATCAATGATGGCGTATACAATCCTATTGAGGAATGTGACACCAACTCAGCAGCAGAACATTCGCTCTTACCGGACCTTCGGCAACTCGGCGGAGCTCGCGTACAGCCATCTGAAGAACCTGTATCAAGCAACAGACAGTGTAAACCAGAGCAGGTTAATGGCGCAGTTGACGACAGTCGAAATGAAACCAGGAGAAAAAGGACTGGCGTATATCAGCCGATGTCGCGAACTGCGCGACAAGCTGCTTCGATGCGGAGGGTCAATCTCTGAAGACGCCTTCGTGACAGTCATCATTGGTGGGCTTGGTCCTCAGTGGCGCGCCACCAAAGCCATTCTTCGAGCCCACGGAAGAATCTCTGAAGCTGCACTCTGCGCCGAAATACATGCCGAGCAGCAAGATATGGACCTGCAGGAAGAACGACACAGGAAGAAAACGACAGTATCAGAGTTCGCATTCCACACTCAACGACGACACAGCAATTATAACAACCGACAGCAGCAACCGAAGATAGTACCTCCCTTCTGCCACATCTGCAAGACTTCAGGGCACCCGCGCACACACTGCCCGAATCGTCAGCAATCAACGGCACCACAGCGACAACTTCGACCTTCAAGCTCCCAAATGGCTTCAACACAAGCAAGTGCGACGACCACTATTCAAGCTTCAACGACTTCACCCGGACAACCTGCACAAGGAGCAAGAAATATAATCAACTGCATGACGAAGATAACCGATTCATGTACAACCGAATCACCACCACACTACTCACCGGAAGAAGAGCTTGACAACAGAACGCCTCGCCGTGAGCTACTCCAGCCGAATCCAACGTACGCCGCTATCGCTCAAAGTGAACCGTCCGGCCAAGACACCTAGTTCTTGGACAGTTGCTGCGGGCAACACATGTGCTCGTCCGGGCGTTTCGTACAACGCGAACATCGACTCCAACGGGAAGTGATCATCACGGTTGCCAACAACCAAAACCTGCGCACACAAAGACAAGGAGTGGTACAGCTTCAGTCAAGAGAAACAAATGTCATACTGCACATGTCTAAGGTACTCATCGCTGAAGGACTCGGCTACAACTTACTGAGCGTTAGCCAGTTGATGGCGAAAGGAATTCATCTGGAAGCCGACAGCACGACCCAGGAGTTCAAACTTTACCACGGGAGAGGCGGTCTCTACATCGGGAAAGCAGTGCTGAAGAACAACGTCTTCGTCCTCGACTTCGTTCCTGACCTGGGCACTGCAGACAGCGACGCCATCGTGAATTTCACTGACTGGACACACCCTCCGGATCTCGACCCCGACTTCAGCCCAGGAGGCTTCTGGTACTCGCACACCATTCCTGAAGCAGAACGAACACGAGCATTAGCAACAATTCGACAATCGGCAGCAGTAACAACATCGGCAGCAGCAACAACATCAGCAGCAGTAACAACATCGGCAGCAGCAACAACATCAGCAGCAGTAACAACATCGGCAGCAGCAACAACATCAGCAGCAGCAGGAACAACGACACCAGTCACAGTCGACGAAGCACCACCAACACCCGCGAAACAGCTGAATCCGACTCAACGTGAAGTCCACCGAAGCGCCAACCTCGTCGCCAGCTTTTACTCCAACTCCGACGCATATCAGCGTTCACCTGGACACCGTGCCTCTGAAGAGATCTGGCACGCACGAACAGGACATCCAAGCAACACGGTTTTGAATAACACGATAAGAGCAGGAGTCCTTGACAAAGATTCTCTACTTCTACCCGATGGCAGAGAACTCCAGAAGGCACGAGGGACTTGCCTTATATGTCCCGAAGCTGACTTACCTCATCGACCGTTTGCTTCACATCACAACCCGAGCGCTCCAGCGTACGCACCACTCGAAAAAGTCTACAGCGACATCCTCTACAATCGCGAGCCAGGACAAGTCAACTACAACTACACCATCACCTTCATCGACGCCGCCACTCGATACGTCTGGCATCGCAACCTACCCAGCCGCGACATGGCGCTCGCAGCATTCGCCGCCTGGCTACCGATAGCAGAGAGAGAGTCTGGAACACAACTGAAAAAATTCCAGTCAGACGGAGGTGGCGAGTACACCTCTCACCGCTTCAAGCAGTTCTTGGCGGAAAGGGGGATCAAGCAACTCCTCTCCCTTCCTTACGCACATCAGCAGCAAGGTGTTGCAGAACGACTGAACAGGACCCTGCAGAACAGCATGCGCAAACTATTACGTGGCATGCGGCTACCCAACCACCAGTGGCCAGCAGCAATGGACCACGCTGTCATGCTACACAACTTGTTGTCGTCGTCGTCACTCCCGAACAACGCATCACCGCATCTGCTGTGGACAGGGAAGCAGGGCAGCACGAAAATGTTACGAGTTTTCGGGTGCATGGTACAGTACAGACCCCCAGAAGCACGAGCGGGAAGATTTTCGCAACGGGCACAGTGGGGACTACACCTCGGCATCGAGAAAAATTACAACGCATGGAAAATCTTCGACGTCCACACAAAGGAAACAGTAGCAGCACGTGACGTGATCTTCTACGAAAGACTCACCCTTCAGACGTACCTCGCCAACTTGCACGAGAATCGGGACCTCACCAGTGGTTTTCGTGGTGACCGAGCCTTCGCGTCAGCAGCGGACGAAGCAGACTGGGATGAACAGAACGTCGACAACGCCTCAGAAGAAGCCGGACCTCTCCCATACTGCTCCGTCGACGTGCCCATGGATGAGGATAATCCTCGCGACAGTAACAACGCCGAAATCTTCTACCGTTTCGCCGACGATGGTTACGTAACACCTGTGACAGTCAACACCAACGAAGCAGAAAGGGTAGGGCCAAATTTCATGCCCGACCCAGAAACGGGAGACGAAGCAGCTTATCCCGAGGATCCAGAACTCCCTCGATACTCACAGACTGGGCTGCAAATCCTCGGCCTCGTCACCGCAGTCCACGGGAACACACGCAGCTCGCTTCCTAAGGAGCCTGCAACGGTTCAGCAGGCTCTGGGGGGGGAACACAGGGAGAAATGGCGTGAAGCCATGGATAGAGAACTGAAGGCATTAGAGGAACGCAACACTTGGAAGGTTGTTCCCGTAAGCCTGGCACGGAACAAAACCATCCTTACCGGGAAATGGGTCTTCCGCATCAAGACGAAAGCAGACGGCACGATAAAAAAATTCAAAGCACGCTGGGTCGTACGTGGATTCGACCAAGAGCAAGGACGAGACTTCACCGAGACCTTTGCTCCAGTCAGCCGCCACACGTCACTCCGAATTCTCCTCGCCATTGCCGCCATGAAGAAGAAGAA